TGACCGAGAAGCCCCATATAATGTGTGTGTGTGGGGGGGGGGGGGGGGGGGGGCTGAGGGGAAATTTTTTTTGGCTTTAATGTCACTTTAACTCTTTTAAAAGATCCAAGAACACCAGGACCATTTGCTCATAATTTTATTGCCTGGCATGGAGAGCAGTCATCATAGACCTGTGACACTGTACACATTGAGCTCTTTACATTCAGCTTATTTGACACTTCTTAAAACTCAACCTTTCAAAAACTGAGCTCTTGATATTTCCTCCTGCCCGTGCACCTTCCCCCAACTTTTCCCTTGAGATTGTTAACACAACTATCCAGCCCTCCCCCCATGCCAAGGTCCTAGGTGTCATCCTTGACTCGGACCTCACCTTTCTCCCCCACATCCAATCACTATCCAAATCATGCCGCCTCCACCTTCGTAACATCTCCAAAATACGCTCCTTCCTCACCAAAGATACCACAAAATTGCTCATCCACTCCCTTGTCATCTCTCGTCTTGACTATTGCAACTCCCTCCTCATTGGCCTACCTCTACACAGGCTATCCCCCCTTCAGTCTATCATGAATGCAGCTGCTAGGCTCATCCACCTAACCAACCGCTCAGTGTCTGCAACCCCCCTCTGTCAATCCCTACACTGGCTTCCTATAGCCCAAAGGATAAAATTCAAAATATTAACAACCGCGTACAAAGCCATCCACAACTCTGGCCCCGGCTATATCTCCAACCTGGTCTCAAAGTATTACCCTAACCGTCCCCTCCGCTCTTCACAAGACCTCCTGCTTTCCAGCTCCGTCATCAACTCCTCCCATGCTCGCCTCCAGGACTTCACTAGAGTGTCTCCCATTCTATGGAACTCTCTACCCCAACTTGTCCGTCTATCTCCCACACTGACTGCCTTTAGGCGATCCCTTAAGACTCATCTCTTCAGGGAAGCCTATCCCACCTCAACCTAACCACTGAACAATCACTTTCTCAAACAATCATCCCCGCGCAGCTACCTCCTCATGTATCACTTGCCCCTCCCTTTTAGATTGTAAGCCCTCACGGGCAGGGCCCTCCTTACCATCTTGTCTTAAATTGTATTGTGATTGTAATGTCTTCCTTATATTGTAAAGCGCTGTGCAAACTATTGGCGCTATATAAATCCTGTATAATAATAATAAGGACTAGAAAGGCATTTACTCCACATACTGTTACTGTTTGTTTCCACATCTTCTCAAGCCGGCGTCACATTAGCATTTCCATGCTGCAATGATTCAACGTCTTCTCAGCCAGGAGTCAAAATGATGATTTCCATGCTGCAATGATTCAATGTGGGGAATTGATCAAAACTACAGCAGAGAAAAATCTAGAGAGTTTGCCCATGGCAACCAGTCAGCTTCCATCATTTTCAAGTTGTAAAGTTGGCCATCCAACTATAGATTATCTGCAGACTTTCTATGGTCAGATGGAAAAAGTGCAACAGATTCCTCCATCTACGCTAAACTATGTGGATGGAGGAATCTCCCACTGGGCCAAGCTTCAGTATCTTGCTAGTCGGCCACACTGGCTCTCAAAATACCTGAACAATCTGATTGGATGCAGGCATCATTCAGGTATTTTGCCAGGCAGCATGGCCGACTAGCAAGATACTGAAGCTTGGCCCAGCGGGAGATTCCTGAACTGCATCTGTTTAGTGTATGGGCTTGGCTGTAGTCCAAAGCTGCTGCCACTTAGGCACAATGGGAGGAAGGCTCAAAAGCCGACCACATCCTAGATGTCTGGTTAGGAGCACCTCTTAAAAAATGGTCATCTTGTTTGGTTATATCCGACATGTCCATGGAAATCAACAAAATGAACCTTCAAAGGGAAATGGACTCCCCCTTCATCAGGGCTTGCGGAATAATAGTGAATTCAGAAAATTGGATCCATTGCAAACAGGTTACACTTCACGCTGATCCTGTCCTAATTCAGGCTACAAAGTACAGCTGTTCCTGAATTCACTACTTATTGTTGCTCAAGCCATGAAGGAAGAGGGAATCCAACTCCCCAGACACATATTGGTTGTTTCTGGCATTTCCACTCAAACAACCTAAACAAAGCTAGCACATTGACCATTTTTAAGTCATCTGTGAAGTACATAATCCCTCATGAGGACCTTGGGTATTTCTTGGCAGCTACTTGTATTTCAGCCCTCTTACTTAAGCCCTCAGACTTAAAGCAATCAGAAAAAAAAATGAACACAGTAGTGTATTACCGCTCACAGCCCTCTTACTCCCCGCGAAGTGGATTCAAAATAGCATTTGCATCACGTTTCTGGGTATCTTGTAATGTCCTGCGCCATTTTCATAAGAGCAAGCAAGCAAAAGCAAGTGTTGCTTAAAGGAGAACTGTGGTGTTAAGGCTTTTACCCATAGTTCTCCTTAGGGTAACGGGAGGACACAAACTAGCGGCCTCCCGTCACCCTAGGCTCAGTAAACCGCGAGCTGTAGCTCGCGGTATACTGGAGACGCCGCAGCTGATCCTGACAATTGTGCCGGGATCCGCCCAGCTGCGTGACTGACAGCTGGCTCTGCCTATCTAGAGGCAGAGCCAGCTGAACCCACCCCCTCCCCTGTCCGTTCCGCCAGTCAGCGCTGGCGGAGGGGGGAATCCAGTCGTGACAGGATCGAGAGGTGAGCGAACGCCGGTATGTGTTCGCTCACCTCCCGATCTACTGAGCCGACCTGTGACAGTCATTGTCACAGGTCGGCTAGAACTATGAGGATGAGTGAAAAGCACTCACCTCATAGTTCTCCTTTAATGCTGTAAGCAACACTGTGACAATATATAGCAATGGCTGCAACAAATTCACAAAGAAATGTTGCTGTTTTGGAGATAAGGACACTAGCAGCAAATAAGACGTATCATATCTTGGTCGAAATTGGTTCTCCTCAGTGCTCCCCCATCATTGGTTGCTAGGATTCTGGCTGCCAGACACCTGTGTCCAAGCAACCAATGATGCTGTGCATCATGGTGTGGGTGCTGAGCATACTTAGTTACTAGAATGCTGATGGCCTTTCCACACTGAATCCTGTCAGGCACACAGCATCATTGATTGCTAGGATGCAGGCCAGGACAGCAACCATGTCCTAGTGAAGATGTAACAAAATGGTCACAAGTCACTCAAGGAGTAACGGGTGCCGATCCAGGAGAATCTTTGCGACAAATTCATGTACATGTTTCTGACATGTACATGAATCTGTGGTACCCAGCGACATTTGTCATACAGTGGTCCAGAGACATCTTAAGAGTACATAACTCTTTTTGAACTCCAGGGAGTATTCTGTCCAACTAGGAATAAAGAAGTTGTAAAGTCCCAGCATATACTATCCTGTTATAATATCAGTATGTATGCTAAGAGTTGTTTTTGATAATGCAATCAAAGCTTAGTTGAAAAAAAATCCCTTTATGTAGTAGGTGTAGTGCCTCCTTCTGTCTGCCCATCACTTTCATCAACTTCCTGCATTCCCAATGTGCCTGCTGCTTGAAGTGATGCAATCTTGATTTCTCATGCATCGCTACCAGCAAGCAATGATGTTGTTACATGTTTAGATGTTAGGTTGAAGTTCAAAAGGCAAGCTTTGGAGTTGTGACACAAGGAAATGCAAATTCAAAGGGCTGAGGGAAATTGTGTCAGTGTATCCTATGGGCATCTCCAATAAGTT